CGGTATTCTTGTTTGATCAACTTTTTTGTCAATAATTTACCTCGTTTTAGAAATTTTTCATACGTAGAGCATGCTCTTGCGTATCGAATCAACTGAAATATATAAACCTGTATGCAGGTGATGAAAGTATATTGCTGCATAAGTAAGGGAAATTGTAAAGTTATTCATCACGTCTATCATAGAACTTGGTTGTTAGATTACCATTAACGTCTTTTCAAGTGAAATATCCAAATATGAAACAGATGTGTCAGATTCTGTTGTATGTTTTATCTCAAGCTCACCAGCTAGGATATATCGTATCGACATAAGAATGGAAATTACGTAAGGATTAATGTAATTAATGTACGAATAGCGCTCCAATCCTAAAAAGTAATGGAGCCGAGGCCTTGAAGGAGCCGAGGTTTATTACTTTTAAGGAATGGAGAGCCACAGGTATATTAACCCGCGTAAAATTTGCTTTTTAAAATGCTGTATTTAATGTTTGTTAATACATAATAAAATAAAGAATATTCATATGATTCATTGTAAATATGCATGTACAATATATTTTAGTAGTATCTCGGTAGAGGCACGGGAAGTAGAATAAGATCTAGAACATAACAAATTCCGTTTTCAAAACTTTCTATTCCTGAAAACTGATGGACCGCTCAAACAAAAGAATGACGTCACAGGTGGATTTTACCGTTGTTTATTGACAATACGTCGTCGATATATCAAATTTTCGAGTTTAAGGCCAATGCAAGTGTTTGTTTTTTTTCACGTAAAAGATTTTGGACAAATTCTGCTTCATATGAATACAAAAATACATATAGGTCTGCTAATAACGGGGCGCAATCGGTTGCCAATTGGGAATTCCAATAGATTGTTGGAATACCTGGTCTCCAAAAAACCATATAGATATTGTCAATCAGGAACCGAAGTATCTTTTTAGTGTCAACTTTAGAGTACTTGTGTGTACAATCAGAATGTTTTTAAACAAAGTTTTGCAAATGACCAATGGTAAGGTAAGTAAATTGACGAGTTCCATTTTTATTGAAAAAAGCAGCTGTCAGTGATATCAAAACCCCCGGTCTTTAATTTATCATGTGGAATAGTTGTATATAAAGTTGAAAATTCGTAAGTTCAATTCTGCTTCGATAAAAACAAATTAGGTCTGCCAGTACTGAGTAGATGCTTTATACTTAAACTAGCCCCAGAAAAGAAACCGAAAATGTTGTTTTTAAAGTTTACGACCGACACAAAACGCACATAGCAATAGAGTGAATTTAGAGTTATCTGACCTTTTTTACATTACTTGACAGCTGCATTTTTAAAAGACTTATTTGCAAAGTCGAAATTTTCCCCAATTTCCCCACTATAATGCATTAGATGTACCATACTTAAAATCAAGTACCAACACATATTTGAAAAGAAACTTGCAATATAGCATAAAATACTTATTGCTTGAAAAATTGGGAATTAGGTAGTTCTATCGCATTGTTCGTAATAACGAACAGTACTGTAGTACATTCATTTGATAAAATACATATCATGAGCAGGTCAAACACAAGACTGTGAAAATCCTTGATTCACAACTTTTTTGTCAGTAGCTTGCCTTTTACAGAGTGCAAACTCTTGTGTATCGAATCATATAGCAGACATAAATCCCATATGCAAGTGATAATAGTATAATTCTATATAAATAAGGAAGATTGCCGATAGAAAAGTTGAAGCCACCTTATTTATCATAGAGTTTTGTTCGTAGGCTACTATTAAAGTCTTTTCTGGTTAAAATACCCAAATGTCGAGATATATAAATGTCGGGTGGAATGTAACAACAATTGTTTTTCTTTATTCAAGGTAGCTGCAGATCTGTAGCTCTCCGAAAAAAAAATATTGATAGACCGGAGAGCTACAGTGCCACTCATTGAAATCAAAGGCCTGAAGGGCCACAATGGCGCCGCGCTTTAGATATGGCAGTAATACCGTGAAATAATTATATAGCTTAGTTGCACATGTATATCTAGATAAATTACCCCGATTTCAGCATTTATGAAATAAAGCATTCAGTTCATATGGTCCAACTGAACGGCTTGAGAACAGGTTTTAATGTGTAGTCACTAGTCAGTACCCCGGTAAAAGAGTATTAGGACCATACTTGCCAACACCCAAGATGTAAAAATTTGGTCATTTGTGTACATGTATTGATAATTCTTCTATTTAAAAAAAGGCTTTACTGAATTATTTACTTACAATGATGAAAAATTATTGATTAAATTGACATGTTAAATAAGAACATTGGTTTCATTGTCCAGCATTGACCTGAATTATGGTAAGTCTGCATTTAAAAAAAAGCCTTTTCGGTTTGTGCTAACAGGGACCCATATCATGTATATACTAATATATATATTGTTTATATATAGGTCCCTGGTGCTAAATTTGAAAGTAATTCCAATTTTAGAGGATTTGAAATTACTTTTCCTCTCTCTTAATTAGGCCTAATTTATTTAATTAACCAGTGTAATGTGTACTAAATGTACAGTAAGACCTACACTGTTTTCGAGCACTATTTTATGTGATGAAAGTTGTTTTCCAAGATTCCTTGACATGTACATAAATATTGTTTCTCTTTCTCTTTGTTCAATTTGTTCCTGCTGGTCTTGATAACAATCTTGTTCTATCGGAAGCCATTTTAAATTTTGATTTGTCAAAACAATTCCAGTTAATTGTTTACACCTCCACCGATAATTTACTGGCCCACTGAACCACATAGCCAACGGGTTTGTTTTCGTAGATCAAGCTTGGGTTGACTTGTAACTGGAAGTTAAATAAGAACCAAATCCGGAAATCGGGGATTCGGGCGATAAGCATGACTCGCCGTGTCATAAAAAATAATCAGGTTAAGGGTCGAAAAGTAAACCGACGAAAGTGAGTGAGTTGTCAACTATGTACAGGACTGTTGAAATTATATGATTTTCAAGCAATTTATGGAATAAACGCAAAAAGTGGCATGTATAATCCTACGCCAGATACATGAAGGTCTTAATTTTTAATTTAATCAATATTTTATTATGTAAAGTAAGATTACATAATTGGATTGATCATCAGGCATGGCCTATATAAGTCCTCTCCAAGGTCAAGGTTACAAATGTTAAGAACTGACAAAAACTTACAATGATGAAAATATTCCTTATAAGTTACATTAAATTCTTTTGTTAACTAACGGTGGGAAAAAAGGAAATAAATTGAATTAAATTATACAGAAGAATTATTACTAAGCTTATGCATATTCGCTATACAATATAATGACAAAAAAAATTTTTTAAAAATAAAGAAAGAAGTGCAAACAAAACAGCAAAACAGAATACGTAAAGTGCAAAGAACTAATATTTAAGAAAATACAAAATAGAAGGAAATGGTAACATTTAAAAGTAAATAAATTCAAGCAATGACACTGAGTAAAGAGAAAAATGATAAGGTGCAAAGACAAATTACCAAGGAAAATACAACATATACATGGAAAATGGAAATGCTACATGAAGGTCTTGGTTCAAGTACTATATTATTTGGCGCATGAAGAAAGCAGTGAACAGTCAGAGATATTTCATCATAGCTATATGTGCGCCGAGCTAAAGCTCGACGCCATAAAAACTGTATATTTATTGCGCACAAAAAGAAATGCGCTCGGTTGTTGATTTATTTCTCCATGTTTTTAAAACTGTAATCTCAAAATATTACTAACCGTGTGTTCCTAACATATTCTTTCGCTGTTTCCACAACCAAACATTCCTCATAATTGTTGTTAATAGTCCTCTTGGCCCTGATATTGTAATCATCGAACATTTCGTTTATTTATACTGCCATTTTGGTTTCAAAGATAATCCGGTCCAATATGCTTCGTTCAGATGTTAACTACGAGAGTAATTGATATAGGTGAGAAGATTTTTTTTTTAATCTTCCTTTTTTTGCAATTGAAGTAATAATTTGGAAGAATTAATCAAGAACCGAGCGCATTTTTTTGTGCGCAATAAATATACATTTTTTGAATGGGTGGCACTGTAGCTCTCCGGTCTATCAATATTTTTTCGGAGAGCTACAGATCTGCAGCTATATTCAAGCCTGATACAAAAATACGTCTGCTTATAACGATGTACAGTTTGTACCTATATAGGAAAATGGAAGACCTTATATGTCTTCTAAAACTACAAATTGATATATTGTCAGAGACTCAAGCATATTTTATATGAAGATGGTTGCTTTTGTTTTGTTTGTTTGTTTGTTGTTTTGTTTTTTTTTTTTTGTTTTGCTTTCTATTCTGACCTTCTCCCATTTAAATATTCATGAGCTACACCCCTGATTTGGGTTTAAGAATGTTTGCATTTACATATCGAATGATTTCAGGGTTTGTAGAGCAGTAGAAAAAATTAATGCTTTGAGCAACATACAGCTGTATGGTACTGGTAAAAAAAAAAATTCCGTGCAGTCGAAATCTTACTACTCTAAATAAATAATGTTATGCCAATGGCTTTTTGGTAGCATGTTGGCCGGGTCAGAATTTCCATATAGAGGCGTTAAAACGAGCTTTCATGGGGACGCTTATGCACATTAATTCATCAGAAATATTTTTATGATTTCTCTCCGAAGCATTCACGTCAACAAAGCACTCTCTTCTTGAATTAATTTTATAGATATCCAAAGACTTAAGCTTGGTCTCCAAATGACCCATTTAGTACTTTATGACGACCCCCTAGCTCACACAGCGAGGAAAATGGATTTCTTATAATTGACATCTAACGGGTGTTGCATTTAGCGGAAGTCAATTAGCTTGTTAGACTCTTGATAAAGTAAATGATCAAGTATAATTTTAACCTGCCGCTTCGGAGGCACTAATGACTAACAATTGCAGGATTTGTAAATGATTATTTTTTAATGATAAGCCATTAAGGAAAGAAGGTCGATTTAGAGGGTATGCTTAATTGATTTCCGTTGTCCTACTAAAATGAATAACATAAATTTCCATATTTCCCAAGCGCTCTTATTTATTGTTTTTTATAATACATTTTTAATACAAAATATAAACTCTAAGCAACAACATTATTTGTACCGACAGAGTTTAAATAATAAACCGATTTTCTTTAAAACATTATAAAAATACATTGAAATTAGTCACTCGATTTGCAATAAATTTATATGATTTCTAATCTTTTAAACGGGATATATAGCGCTCGGAATGTGGATAAACTTTCACCGAGACCAAACTCCGAGGCCCATCTCCTATCTGTACGACATGGAACACGTGCACTGGGAGAGGTATTGAGTACATATGAGCGTGCAATCTTCATATCCATTGTCGTAATCTTTCATAATTCCATTCTCCAAAACGCATTTGTCCATACAATGGTTAAATCGTAATCTGCATTGAGTACTGCAGATAATATTCTGGATTCCCAAACCATGTGTCTGACAGATGAAAACCGATAAAGACAGCAGGGTAACCAATACTATTTTATGCTGCAACAGATAACAGAGAAATGTGATTAAGCATAATAATTTGCAGAAAACCCTATTTCTGCCATCAAGTCTAATTAAATAGCCTTTTATTAATCTTCTTTACATTACTGCAATAATTTTTCAATGAGAAGAATTTTTTCAGAATACCTATAAAATATCATAAATCACAGTAAATGTAGTCTTGATAATTTAAAGATAAGTTGACCCGTCGGTCTGTCTGTCGTTCACGTTTGTCACTTTAAAGCTTTTCAAACCATAAAATCTTTGGAATGGCATTAGACCTTTATAAACTCAATATACTAGTATACTTATTGGAAATAAATATTTGTAGATAACTTATCGAGAGTCGTAATATACTGTCATTTTGGTCAGATCCCTGCATATGTATACTATATAATGGAGTTTTAAAACATTGAGAAAGTGGCTTATTGAATACACGAAGTTTCAAAAATACAAACTTAAGTATATACGTACATGTATGACACTATTCATATAATTATTAATTTATTATTTGGCTTAGAGTATCGATATCGAGAGTGGCTAAGTTTTTTTTTTTCAAAATCATTAAAATTCTAGGACTACTAATATGTACCTGTAATTAAGATATTGTTTCCTCAAATGTTCTAAGCATTGCCCTATTGGAGTAATAAATCAAGACCTTAATATTATCTGAAACCTCTTACTGGAATTACCTGGTCAATATTAAGGGTATCGTGAATGTTGGAGTCCTGTTCACTTGGGAATAGCCCTATATGCTAAGGGTTAAAATTCTTAAACGCATATCATCAATCCATTATTTCGAAATTAATCAGTTGATTATCTCGGTATGGTATATTACCACGAAAAGCGGCCGTGTGTAAAGATTTCGTTTCTCTTGAGATTCTGAATATCCATCTCTAATATTGCTATATTATATGTAGAATAATGTCAGTCAAGAATAAAAACAACCAGTATGGCTTCATTGAGTGCATACGGGGTATTGAAACATAGGTGCGAAGAAAAAAAAATGTTACCCTTGAGAGAATGATATTATTTATTCAACTGGTCATTCTATCGAACATACACTGTAAATGCCATATAACCGTAACCTCGTATGGCCGCCAAATTTTTTTTTTTTTTTAGTAAAACTGTGCTTCATCGTGAACATTTTTTTCTATGTTCAAATTTTAATACTAATTATTGAAAATACCCTAGTATCTGAAAACTTATCGCCTTTCTTATTTTCATTATATATTAATGACTTGGAAGATTTTTTGACAGAAAAGAATATTGTTGGTTTGTCTAGTATTAGCAAAGGTATACAGGATGAGTTGTTTTTGTACATGAAATTGTTTATCTTATTTTATGCCGATGATACTGTAATTCTAGCCGAAACTGCTGAAGATCTTCAGAGAGCACTAAATGAATTTTACAAATATTGTGAAGAATGGAAATTATGTGTGAATATCAAGAAAACAAAGATACTTATTTTTTCAAAGGGTAGACAGCCAAAGAATATTTTTACATATAATGGCAGTATCATAGAAGTAGTCAAGGATTTTAATTATTTAGGGATTGTATTTTCTCGTACAGGCTCATTATGTAAAGCAAGAAAACACCTATGTGAACAAGCACAAAAGGCAATGTATGGTGTGATACGTAAAATTAGGCAGTTTAATCTCCCCTTCGAATGTCAATTGGATTTGTTTGATAAAGTAGTTTTACCAGTATTGTTATATGGCTGTGAAATATGGGGGTATGAAAATATCGATATTATCGAACGAGTACATTTACGTTATTTAAAACATATATTGAATCTGAAAAGTAGCACTCCGAGTTATATGATTTATGGAGAAACTGGTAGATTTCCATTACACATAAATATTTACTCAAGAATGATAAAATATTGGGCAAACCTTGTGAATGGAAAAGAAAACAAATTGTGTAGAATAGTATATATGTATTTACGTAAACAACATGATAAAGAGGAAATGAAAAATTCATGGATATCCTTTGTACAAAAGATTTTTGATAGATGTGGTTTATCAAATATATGGTATGAGCACGAACATCATTTTTATAATGTAGAATGGATAACTGCTACAGTCAAACAAAGATTAAAAGATCAATATATTCAAAAGTGGAATAGTGAAGTTCAAGAATCTTCAAAAAGTTTAAATTATAGAATTTTTAAAACCAATTTTGAGTGCGAAAAATATTTAACAATGTTATCATTTAAATTCAGAAAAACTTTTGTTAAGTTTAGAACCACAAATCACCACCTCCCAACTGAAACAGGTAGATGGAATGGTACTCAAAGAAATGAAAGAGTTTGTAGCTTATGTAGTAATAACCAGATAGGAGATGAGTATCATTATATTTTAGAATGTAGTGCTTTAAACCAATTAAGAAAAGTTTATTTGAACCAAAAATTCTGTTCTTATCCAAATATCATCAAGTTTTGTGAAATCATGTGCCAAAATGATGTTGATTCTTTGAAACAATTATGTACATTTATTTCTAAAATTAATAGTATTGTCTGTTCTCCTTAATTATCACCTTCTGCTTGACCCACTGTATTATATGTATATATGTTTTATATGTTTTTTACCTCATGTACCATTTACATGGTTTTGAGAGAATAAATTGAATTGAATGGTACCTAATTGCACAAGTATGCAGACCATCAGCTACAGTTATCTGACCAGTTCCGAATAAGAAATAAATTCGGCTGTGCTATGAATACTAGTATACGAGGCAATATTTCAAAATCTAAGTTTTTGCCATGATAGTTTAATGACTTGTGGAATTAAATATTGTTTCATAAAAGTTCAACCTTTCCCCAAAATAAAATTATTTCGCAAGTTAACATAGGTACTCATTTTACCAGTTACGAATAAACCGACGAGTTCCAAATGCCCTACATGCAGCGGTTCCCATTCAATTCAACCCTAAATCAAAAAAAAATATACGTCACACACATAATCCGTTGCCTTGCCTAGGAAAAGTTAAATTAATTGGTTACCAATAAGTTATTTGTATTTCCAAAGAATAAAGAGAAACCAGAGGTACTGTGAGCACTGAGCTCTTTAATGATACTCCATGCCTCCTATATAATTATTATAACAAAGTCCATGTTTTGCTCTGGGAGATCAGAAATAAGCTTCAGATCAAAAAGTAAAATAAGAGCTCATAATGGAACAATGTAATAAAGAATCTGTGAAAATATCATTAAATCTTATTCAATGGTATAGGAGGATTTGCGGATAAGAGATGTATAGACCCTTCAATATTAGAAAGAATGGCGGTATCCATGTTTCGCTTAAGGGAGCCCAATTAAGTTATGTGTCAGATCAAAAAATAAAAAGAAGGTGCACTTTGGCACTATTGAAGAAGATTCTATGAAAGCCTCATTAAATTCTGTGAAGCCTCATTAAATTTCATTTAGTGGTAGAAGAGAAGTTGTGAATAAGAAATGGGTACCCCAAAGCGTATCTGACGGACGGACGTACAAACGGATGGATAGTGTTTATAAGGGGTATTCGGAACTAGGGTCGTTTACTAATTTTTGAATTAGAAATTCAAAAAATGAGTACACAACAATTAATTATGTAATCATTTTCAACTTCAGATTGAAATTAATAAAAGACACTAGTAAAATGACATCACGAAAATATTCCATCTTCCAGTGTTCTTAATATTTATTTTAGACAAGTTTTTAGTATTTGTTAGAGTATACATATCAAACTTACTTTTGATACCTGGAATGTTGTTTTATGTGAAAAATTGATGTCTCTACAGCTAAAGCTTTTTTCTGAAGACTCACGCGTCGCAGTGATTCGGATTTGTTGTATTTTAAAAGTATGTAGTTGTATTGTGTTATGGCGATGTGTTTTATGATTCATTCATGTTGCAGTGCAAAGGAAGACGTAATCAAAGAAAGCAAAAATACATATTATACAGGTATCATGGCAAATGATGCCGGATGATGGGTAGATGATAGGCACAAAACAGTAATTGGTTGCAATCCGTTAGTGAAAAATGCACAAAGTATATAATACTTCATCTGAGCAAAATGAACGGAGGTGGACTATGTAATAATGGATTGGTCAATCATTATCGTTGAATGCCCTCGGTTTAACCGTACTTAAACGCCAGAGGCGCAGAAAACTGCCAATTCCAATAAAGTATTTATCAGAAAAGTCGAAATACGGAATAATAGCCTCAAAGCGACGTCATACAATTTTATAAGATGAATGTATTGTTTGGTGTATAATTTTTCACCACAAATATCTGAACACAAAAAGCATGAGATGAAATATTCGAAATATATCAAGTAGATTACAGATTTAAATACGAAAAAATGGATTTTTTTAATTCACAAAAGTTTTAATATATGCAGAAGGTTAGAAAGATAACTGTGTAGATGAATTTCTCGCACACCTTATTTTTTATACAAAATACCATGTTCTTAAATAGTTGGTTCTTATTGGCAGAACAATTGAAACACATTCAGATGCACTGAGTTAGTTGATATTTTATTATCGATAAATGGTAATTTAAAGAATTCTGCGGTAGATTTTCTTAACTTGGATTAAATATTTCTACACACATTCATTTATTGTCTCTATGAAAAAAATCTTGATGACTTTAACTTTGCAATCGTCAACTTCCCTTACTTATCCAGCAATATACCTTCATCAAATGCGTACGTAGTTTATATCTTTAAATTGATTCAATACACAAGAGAATGCTTTACGTATATTGTATGTTCAATTTCTAAAACGGGGTAATTGACAAACAAATTGAAGAAACAAGAATATCAGCAATCTCGTTTAAAGTCATCATTTCGTAAGTTCTATGGCCGATACAATGACCTTGTCAGCAAATACAATTTATCATTGAGTCAAATGCTAACTGACTTTTGTTATACTAATTGTTAGTCCATTATTTACACACTGAATTGACGACGGATTTTTCCGTTATTTCCCAATCATGACAAGGAGCACACGGCAGGTGTGACCGATCGGCAGGGGATGCTCACTTCTCCATGCCATCTCTAATGTTTTGGAGTTCTGTGTTTGCTTTGTTCCTATTTTGTATTGTTTAATGGTTTTTTGAGCTTGAATACTGTTCCTTATCTCCATATATTTTATCTCTTAACCATATTAATGGTACATACATACTGGTTTGATGTTTAAGTTTCAAATTTATTACCATAAGCTTATCAACAAGAAAAAGTCATATGAAACCATAAACTATGTTTCTACCCGATTAATCTATAGAGATACAGAAATCTGAGGTAACATTTTATGTTTTCTACTACTAATAGTTAAAAATAAAATTTCTGAAAATCAAGATTTTACAAAACTTGAAAGAATTGTACAAAAGTTGCTGAAAAGTGCCGTTATGTCAAAAAATTAAAAAAGCAAATATTTTTTTGAATACATATATATCTATTCATATGTTTCTAAGAGCTCTTAAGTAGCCGAAGAAAAGAAAAAAAAAAAACATTGCAGAACAAAGACCAACATTTTCACTTTAAAAATAATTTACACACAGATACCGGTATATCGTTCACGAAAAAGGTTGAAGATAACGAAAATATTTAAACAATATAAATATGTAAACAGGGCATAAACACGATTCCCTGATAATCCCAGAGGTTGGATCAGGTAACCTAGGAGGAGTAACCATCCCCCGTTGACCAAGCACTTAAATGCGTTGATCAAGAAGACGGAACGTAGTCAAATTCAGCACAAAAGCAATTGGTATGACACAAGTCAGCCCAAACATGACCCACTGTTAGTTATGTTTGCTTACAAGGTAATTAAAGTGACCGTGGTATTTACGAAATGCTAACTTTTGACGAAGTTGTTAAAATCCCAGATACATCAACTTGTGTGTGAGTATCCAAACTCGGTTTAAAGGCTGAGTGGCGAATTAGGAGACATTGACACCACATGCAGGTGATAGCGTATATAAAGAAGGAAAGTCGACAATGGAAAAGATGAAGACATCTAGTTTGTCATAACATTTATTTGTTTGCTGGATTATATCGTCTATAGTCATTCAAAAAATCACATTTGAATGAGATAAAGCAGACTCTGTGGTGTACTAGTATTTTATTTTAAGTTTACTGGATATTATATCGTGTCGACCTACGAATGGAAATAACTATTTAATTGAAAAAATCGTTGATATATCTGACTATTAAGTTAAAGGCCATGGCAAGTTTGCTTTATAGGTACAAATAAACAGATTGGCTATATTAAAGATACACGATTAGTGTCCGTAAGGGTACAAACAGTTAGTTGAAAAAAAATTGTTCTATAAAATAATGTTGTCAATTTTGAAATCCAGCATCCTTTTAATATCAACTTTACAGTAATTGTGTGTAGTTTTGTTAATGATCAATCACAAGATGTGAAAATTTTCGAGTCCCGCTTAAAAAAAATTTGGTGTATGATATCAAAAAGGGCTAATTTTTAATTTATAGCGAGGTAGAGTTGCATATATATATGCATACATGTAGAAAAATCGTACATGTACGTGTTGTAAATGAATTTTGAACAAAATGGCGATTTTTAAGTTCCTTAAACATGCATATATGATTAAAAATTTCAGGCAAAATTTATAATGGATTGAGGTTTTACATATGAAATATATAATGAAGTAAACTAGCATTAAAGATAATATGCCGTTGTGACATAACTTTTGGGTTAAACTACGCATGTTTTTTTTTTATCATCTCACAAAATTAATTGAATTAGAGAACTTTGACATTTACCGGGGTAGCATTTTCATTCATATTTAATACTATTATTCTATTCAATGTGAAGACTGAAATATGTATATATATGAAGGGAAAAATAAATTAAATGTATGGTATAATCATAAAAAACACATGAATGGTTATTTTAAAAGTAATAAGTTGACGCTTACCATTTTCTTTCCGATTTCGTTTCCTCAGAAGAAAGCACCAATCTGGTAGAAGCGCGAACCCGACACGGAATTTATTTATTTCATATTCTGATGCAGACGCAGGTTTGTCAACCTGAATTATCATAATAACATTTCCAGATCCCCCGAGACCCGTTCATATTTCCCAAGATGTAATGTGGCTTGGTTCGATTGTAAATTTTCCGTTCATAGATTTCTATCCGTCCGCTAGTCCTATTGCGTGCTGGGCATTCCCTTATGTTGATTTCTTGCCTAGTAAATAAGCTTCCGAATGTCATCTTGCCATTCTTTTTTGGCCGACCCAGAGACAATATGTTGGATCAGATGTCGTTGGCTATAACTCCTTCTGTCAGTAATTTTGTTTTTGTAAAAGCAAGATTCTACTTTGGAAAAGTGGTATATATTTTTTTCAATCCGTTTGTTCTTGATTTATTTTAAGGCGTATTTTAGGATAAAGTTGGATCACCTTTTTGTAAAAGGAAAGCTATCTAATCGATAACCAGTACAATGTAACTTGTTGAATGACATAAGAAATCAGGTCAATTTTGCAATATATATTATAGAGAAAAAAAACTTATTTTTCTGAAACTCCGAAACTTATTCCCTAAAAAGCAAAAATCGGATAGAAGAATTCGTGATTATTTTTTTCAATTATTGCAGATTATTTAGGATAGTTGCATTCAGATGGACTCTTTCATATATTCAATTTTATTGTATTTCCCTAGGGAGAAGAGATAAAGAGAATTTTAATCATTATTTTGATAATTAAAATGTTCCCAAAGTCAACTTAGCCATCAGCATCATGAGATTTTCTCAGAGGGAACTTAAATTCAGATAATAATCAAACTAAACAATGATAAACAAACACTAGGGTTAATAGGTATTATTTATCTACGGAAGAGGAAAATCACGTCACCAATTAACTATCAAATAATCCATTTTGTAAACTGATTCAATGTTTATAAGGATTAGAGTTCCGTCAATTGATTTAATATGAATATGTCATTTTTGAATTAGTTAATTTTTTAATCAACTTGTTTGTTTCAAAAATATTTAACTATTCTGTAAATTTTATAAAAAAATGAAAGGATACAGGCTCTTTTAATGGGCAGTAATTGAAGATACAGTGCTATATAAGAATACATTTTTTGTAATAAATACAATTACAGCAATGGTATCAAACAAATAATTTACAGCCATATCACACATTTTGTTATGCTTATTTTAGATATTTAAAAAATGAAGACAATATTATGATTGAACTTTCACTATTACATGTTACAAGAGCACAATAAAGTCACAGGAAAACGGAATATTTTAAATATTTAAAAAATGAAGACAATATTATGATTGAACTTTCACTATTACATGCTACAAGAGCACAATAAAGTCACAGGAAAACGGAAAAATCCATGGGCAGCTCATGGTGATGGCCATCAAGAGTTGTATGAAAAACGCCAGACAACATTCAAATTAATAAAAGATTGTATTTGCTGACAAGGTCATTGTTACAACGAATTTTAATTTTCCAGATGTTGACATTTTTACAAAACTGTTCTTACCTTTAATTTAATGTAAACAATATTTTATTATGAATTAACATGATAGGATTGGACAGCAGGCACTGCCTATACAAGTCCTTTCCACAATACAAAGTCATATATGTACATATAAGTAAATATTAGCTACATAACATTGAAATAATATATATATATATATATATATATATATATATATATATATATATATATATATATATATATATATATATATATATATATATATATATATATATATATATATATATATATATATATATATATATATATATATATATATATATATATATGCACATATTCTTGCATATATGTTCTTACCTTTGTTAATTAATCGTATTCATCAAAAGCTTGCCTTGTTTTAAAATTGTTCGTACGTAGCACAGGCTCTGTTGACGTTACTGGGAGCCTTAACTCCATACGCAGATGATAATGGTATATTGCTTCATAAATAAGGTAAATTGACGACTGAAAAGTTGAAGGTTACAAAGTGTAATTAACTAATCATAAGAACTAGAGAACTTAATAGATGTTTTTAGTGTTTATACCACTGTCTATATATGTATCATGATTATTCTGAGACGTTGGCAAAAATCTTCAGTTACATGTACTTTTAATGATACTATTCCAAACACATCTATAGAAGCGAGTTCTTTCTCAACACCTATTTGTGTGAGAAGAATCAAGACATTCTTAATTGTGGTGACTTTAATTTAGAGAAATAGCCTTCACACATCAAATTCTGAAATAAATCAGACTAATTAAAAGCATATAAGGCAGGTGGTTAGTCTAGGTTTTGAACGTCTTAAAAAAAGCAAATAAATACCTCGGTAATGATTAAAATAAAGAGCAAGACTTTATGGAGAAATGTAGAATTAGATTTGCAAATAGATTGCTTTAACAAACATTAGAAGTTATGATATGAGTCACTAGACTAGACATCAAATCAATATAAATAATTCTTCCTAAAAGCTTTTATATGTATAATGCAAATTATAAATCTATTAAAGATTCTTAAAAACAGAATCAAGTAATGAAATTCCTCCAATATCAAGAAACCGAGTCCGTCTGGGCAATAAAACAAAGGTTAACGAAGTGATAACTAGAATGGAACATTACTTGAATTCAACCCCCGGATAAGTGAAAAACTTTTCAAATAATTAAATATTTCTATTGGAAGCAAGTATTCATTGCTAATATCGAAAAATACAAATAGAATGCCTTGATCACACTTAAAAAATTCATTGATGAATAACATGAATAACGAATAACCCGACAAGTATACCTATTAATTTGTATCGAGTGTTTAGATTAGCTTGACCAGGATTCGAATTCTAAGAAGAAGCTTCTTGAAGTAAAATGATGCTCTCGAGTACGAAATTATAACCAATTAAAATTGTTCATTTAATTATTTTAATCAAAACATCAAGTATTAAAAGCCACAAATATTCATTCGTTTCCTTTATAGTAACACTTTACTTCTTATTGAGTATTGGAGAAAAAACAATTAAAAAGACACACACCTCACTTTGCTTGAATAAACCGTAGAGCTTTCGTGTAGAGAGACAGTTGGCAACAATAGTGACATTAGGGATAAAACTAGTTCAAATTTTAACACGGTTTTGAGGGTTTTCCATCTACGGCTTTAAAGATCTTATTTCCATTAGTACAATTACAACTAAACCCCGATGTTCCTTTATATCAATCAAATATTGTATCCAGATGTTTTCTGTCTCCAAATTGCACTAAATGTTTTACATGAATTAATGTCAAATAAATGAATTGGATCTGTGGATTGTTTCAATCATTTTATAAACAGGATCCCAATGGCATTTTTTGGAAAAAATAATCAACATTAAAACATGTTATCGATATTGAACAAATCGTCAGATTATACTGCGCTCTGAAAGAAAAAAAATATCGTCAATATCAATTTATTCTCAGAGTAATACTGATAAAGAAGTTTCTTTTTGGAAATGCACTTAAAATACCAAGTTTTTAAACATTTTGTGTGGTGTTATCCAACTTTTAAAGAGATCGAAAATAAAACTGATCGGTAAATGCTGGTTTGGTGTGGTTTGAAGATTGGTATTTTATTTCCAATAATAAATACAAATTGATCGGGCAAACTTCTCAAATCTTAACATACTGTAGATCACTTAATTTTCGCGACACCTTATTTTCGCAAGATATGTAGTCATTGACTCTTTATTAGCGGGACAAAATTTTCACGAATTGTGATCATTGCTTTATATAATCTTAAGGAATTCTATTATATGCGAGAATGAAATTTTCGCGAGCATACCATCTCGCGTAATTACGCGAAAATAAAGTTCTCGCGAATAAAAAGTGATTTACAGTACTCTTCCCATCGTACATTTTCAAGTGAGTAAAATCACACTGACATCCATTTATATATGAGGTCATGAATACATGAAAATACACAGAAAAAAATATACTAATCAAAGGCTTCAATATTCCATAACATACAGATGTGACAAAATCTTGTCTTTGAACGTTTCTCTTCTAATTTCTTGGTGCGATAGACATGATATTTGCTCTGTTTGTAAACACATTTGCTAATTCAGTCATATTCATACAAAGTATAATATTTCATACAAAGTATAATATTACATATAACACATAAATTGGATTGATTTAGCAAAAAACTATAACAACTAGTTTTGTAGCAACCAAAATGACTTGAATTAAAAAAAAAAAAATGTTTCACTTTGTACAGTTGGAAAATTTTATTTTCAACATCACTTAACAAATAATCTCCCCAGATTAAAGTTCGAGTATCATGATTGGTCTTTCCTAGCGCTGTTTATCTATATAGAGGAAATAAAAACAATATTTATATTTTTAAACATTTATTGTTTGGCGTTGTTGGTCGTGGCATAATATATAAGCAGCAAAGGGTCGCCAAGCAGGGCAGACCCAATATTCAAACAACAACACAATACAAAGCAAATCAACAATTTGGCTGTTCCAGGTTTACCGCAAACAGTCATTTACCTTTAAGCTTATTAAAGATTTTTTACTTATAAAAAGTTTGAATAAGTTCAAATATTGCAACAAGCACAAAATGAGCAGCACAAATTCAAGCAGCATTTGTTTGTTCCGGGTTGACCGCGAACAATGAAATAAAATGTTATATGTATTTACATTACAAAATATCAAGCCAATGTTCACAGTTCAATGTCTTCAAAATATCATACACACTCAGATGCACAAACTTGACACATCAGTTGAATGGATGGGCGCAAATGCCACATGACCTGAACTTAAAAGTTTAAGGTCACCCCACACATGGGGAGCCCCATTCAACTGACCCAAGACCAACAAGTAATGGTAACCACCCATCTTAACAGTGGGTGTCAGGGAATACTGATCCACACCCACTGTTAAAATATTCAAGACCCCCCTGTATGTTGTTCAAGAATACAGAATTACCTAATGGATTTAGGTGCACCTTGTCACTAGCCAAAAAACACTCTATGTTCCTAACAAGATCTGGGTGCTTAAGATAAGCCCCTCCTAGCTGGAGTACCTGACATGCAGCTGCCCTATTCAATCTTTCAAGGGCCCGTTCCAGGGCAGAAATGTCTAACGAGTGTCTGTACGTAAGGCGTGGCAAAATTTTAGACCAAACAAGTCT